TCGCCCCCGTCCTCAACACCGTCACTGGCACCGTGGGCGGCGCTGTCGGCACCGTTGGCGGCGTTGTCAACACCGCCACCGGCCTTGTTGGCGGCCTGACCGGCGGCCTGACCGGCGGCCTGCTCGGCGGCGTGACCGGCGGCCTGCTGGGCTGATTGCACAGTTTTGACAACTTTTCGCTTTTCCTAGAATAACGTATGCGACGCAGTGCACCATCATCCTGTACCTTCCCACTGGTCCATGCGCAGTAGTGTCAAGAAGTGCGTGCACATGCTGGCCTTTTTAGTTTTTAAGGCTGCCAGTGATGCCAAGCACGTGATGTACTTGTGTGGTCCACTGCACTGCAGAGGCCAGCTGGCGCTGAGTGGCAACCATCCATCCCCTGTAACACTTCACAAAACATAAACGCTCCTGATCATATGCGATTCGACCAGCCTCCCAAGATATCAGCTGCTCAACCAGCTGCCTGTGCACCAGACCAGCGCTGCCGAAACCCTGGGACAACCCCATGTCCGGCGTTTGAATTGATAGTTACAGATGAATACACCTACAGTACCTTGGTCATTCACAACAACCAATTGCAGGCCCCGCCATGCATCGTTGCTGCACTGTAGAGCTCGAGACTGAAAAACATACAGTGATAGGGCTGCATTTTTAAACGGGTGTTTGGCAGGCAGCAGGGGGCCAGCGTTTGGTATGATGAGACATGTGTCACCGCGGCCTTAAGTTGGGCCTGCATGCAAAAGGCAGTGGCTGCTGTAATGGTCCCTGACAAAACCCCCCTGTTCCTGCAACAGGGACTTGCTGCCTTGATGATTACACACACACACACACCGCACAGGGCCCAGTGGGCGTGCGTTGCCTCACCATCGCCGCGCAATCTACCGACACGGTGTACACTGGATGCAAAGAGTGCCCTGCGCCTTCTGAATGTGGTCAAGCATGCCTGTGCCCGGACAGCTAAACACCACGCGATCACCTCATACCGGCACACCGGACCAGTGGCATGGGTTTGGCTGGTTGGGCGGTGGCTGGTTGGGCGGCTTGCTGCACCGACGCAATAAGAAACGATGTCCCGAGTTTTCTGGTTGTGCTGTGCTCGTGGCTGACCATGGCGCGGCTGACCATAGCGCGGCTGGGTGGATGCAGACACCTCACCACATCTGGCAGGCTCACACCACTCTTTGCTTTGCATAGCACGTATAATGGTGTCCTTATACTTGGGCAGATGGCAAAGCTTTTTGCATACACTGATTGGCTTTCTGGCATGCTATTCGATCACCACACACTCGCCCACTGCAGATGACTCGCCTCTATCTGCAGCGCGCACCCGTCGCATTCCTGACAGTTGAACTGTCATCTGCACACAAGGTCACAGTGATACCCCCCAGCTGTTAAGTGCACACGCACAGGCCAGGCCACAGCCTCTCATCAACTCCCACCACTACAATGTGTGCGTGTCGCATATCCTGTTTATATATCTAGCGTTCACTGTGTATCCATCTTACTGCCAGCTATCCACTGCAGGTCCACGCGGTATTGACGATGTTGACCTTGCTTGCTGTTGATTAATAATGACTTGTGTGTTACACTGCAGACAACTCATTGAAGGTGCTGGCTGATGACAAATAAGAGGTGTTGTAACAGAGGCAAAACCCGAAAACAACGTGCAAAGTGTCAAATCAATGGAACTTCATGCAGGTGTGAACACTTTGCTGAAAGACAATCAGTGACCAGCTTATAGCTTGCAGACAGACATCACACAAACAACACACAAGAACTCACAACCAACACACAAACACCCATTTTGTTTGTTGATACAAGCCCCTTATGCTGTATTGCAGCATGGAGTGAGTCGGCACTGTTCAAATAAAAACACTTGTCCCCGCATCACAGCGGACCATCAAGCCTCTCGTTCACGGCTAGGTGGTACAGAAACTGGTGGCCGCCGTGTTGCAGCGTTCTACTGACCAGTCATCAAGTCAAAGCAACCATTCACAGCAGTGCGGAGCCCTTGACCGCCTCAATCGCGACCATGAGCAACAACCCAAAAATTGCCAGGTTGCCTGCGGCCAGGCAGTTTCAGCAAGGGAGGGCAGAGTGGACCCGTCAAACATCATACTACTAATCATATTACCGTAAAGAAACAGTCAGGCAATTACAACAAGTGCAAATTCCCCCTAGAACACCGATAAAGTAGATCCACAGCGCTGCTGCTTCAGGCACCACAATCTTACCAACACACCCCTCCCACACATGTCATGAACCCTCCCCCCGCCCCCAGCTCACCATTGAGCCTCTCAGAGGCAGGGACAAAGGGGCCGAAGATCTCGTCACCCTCCTCCACACCACGCAGCAGCGGCGCGGCCGTCGCGGCCGCCAGCAGCAGCGACGCGGCCAGCGCCTGGGGCGCCGCGGCCAGCAGCTGCGCGCCCAGGGGCTGGCCATGCAGCAGCTCGCCAACAACGCCTGCTGAGAAGCCCCTGTAATGAATGTACAGAAAGGTGGGGCATGGTTTAGTTGAGTTGGATTGACTGGTAGTGTTGAACGGCAGCTCTCCCACACCGCAGCTCCCCCACACCAGGCAGTCGACAAGATTATGCAACGGCTACATGACTGAGGACATCATGGTGTGGTTGTGCAACGGCTACATGACCGAGGACATCATGGTGTGGTTGTGGGTCAACCGCGACAGCCCTCCTCAATCTTGCTGCTACCGCTGACTGGCAAAGCTCACATCATGGCCAAGCGGCCGTTGACAAGGGACATGTTGCGTGGGGTGAGAAGGCGCGCCAGGCCAGGCTTGATGCTGGGTGTCGGCTCGTCGCTGCGTGCCGCGGACGCCTCGAGCTGAGCGTCGCCAAAGTCGACCGAGGCGAGAGCGCGGATGGGCATGCTGCGAAGCCGACCATTGCTATTGCCAGTGGAGTTGCTCTTGGGGAGGGAGCCGCGGAGGACCGTGCTCAGGGACGCGGCCATGCCGTGGGGTTGTCGAAAGGGACTTGCCGAACAGGGGGCGTCAAGTGTGAGCTCTTACAAATATGTGCGCGCTGTACTTGATCTTTGTTTACGCGAGAAAGAGTTTATGGCGGGGGGGTCGTCGTAAAAAATGCAAAAGTGGCGTGTGACGTACGGAAGTGTGACGTGGAATTCAGGCAACAAAATGTCATATGTACAGCCACAGAAATTGAGAGGACAGGTGCTCAAAGATAGGCGGATGTGTGGAGGCAGCGGCAGCGTGTTGTGCCACACAACGCCTGTGGTCATCCCGGTAGCATGGCTACAAAAAGGTGTGGTTGTGCAACCGCATTGCAGCATGAGGTGGGATTCAATCCAGAAGCTCCTGTACATGTGTGCAGATTATATGAAGCTCACCACCACAACCGGTTATGATGTCACCTGCTACAGTGTTGAGAACGCAGCCATTGCAGGCATTGGGAGCGCTCCCATCCTCCATCGCAGGGCACCAGGCAGCTGGCACTCTCCAGAGTGCACATGGCTGTCCAGTGAAGCCATGATACAGAATTCGTGCAGTGTTGGTGGCTTATGGTATTGTTCCAGACATCTCCCCGTTTGCACAATCGGCACACAATCGGCACGGACGTGCCGTTCAGGCTGCCCCGCTGTCCACAGCCAGCGAGCGGTACGGTGCCACGCCTTATGTACCGCCTCGCCCCGCCGCACTCTGAAAGGTAGGATGATTGAAACACCACAGGCACGCGCAGGCCGGGGGTAGCGCAGCAGACAGGGTGGCCCATCATTTCAGGCACGTAGCACGACTGCGACCTCAGGTTAGCCCCACTGATGACCAGAGTCAGCAGCCTGACGCTGTCACAACCCAGCAACCAATGCGGCAATCGGGGACCCGCCAAAGTCTACTTTACCAGCCTGATCAACGGCCTCGTGTTCGTTGTGTTGAGGGGCGGTGAAAGCACAACGCGCCAAAGCACGGTCAAACAAGCGTGTGCAGAATGCAGTGCCATGCATGCAAATTTCTGCAGGTGACCTGAAGCTCTAAATTTCTGCAGGTGACCTGAAGCTCTGTACAAACAAATGACCTCGCACAATCATTGATGGTAAATGGGACCAAGGGCTCAAGCCACAGATGGTTGCGCACATACGGTAGGTGGCGGCCTCCCCCTCCCAGATGACCTGAAACGGTATGACACCTACCTATAGGGCTCCTGCAGCCATGGCCCCTGCATGTATGTCATTTGATGCTGCTGAAATATTAATCATCTCATTGTGTAGTTACTAGGTCAGCACACAGATCACCCCAGACGATCCCTCCTTGCGGGCGCGCCCCCTAGCGCGAGTGCAAGCGCAATGTTAGCTCGTGCGGCCAAAATCCTGCCTCTGGGTCTTCGGACGTCTCCGGAGCAGCTCTTTGTGGGGTTGCAACATGCCGCGGCCTTCTCTGGCGTCAACCTGTCCGACCGTGCAACCTTGAAGAAGTTTATGGGCGTGGAGGACCTGTTGGGCCGCCACGAGGACACACGGGGGACACTTGCGGGGCTGCTGCAGCAGCTGCGCGAGTCTGTCGCCGCGCTGCCCGCAGACGCCGACTACCGGCGCGCCATTGAGGCCACCGTGGCGTATCGGCTCAAGGTGCTCGACGCAAATGAGAGCGATGCGGCGGTGGAGGAGGTGCTGGACAGCCACCTTGAGGAGCTGATCCTCGAGTGCCGGGAGGAACTCAACCTGGTGCACGTCATGGCCGGTGAGCCGGGTCGCGCCGCGAGTGCGCTGCGCATACCTAGCCCGTTTTCTACACTTGAGTGTTGTGTGCGTGTTGTGTATTGAGTTGAGGTTGTCACGCATGCGCGTGTGGGGTGCAACAGGGGACGCTCCGTTGTTGCGATTTTGGCTGTGGCACAGCTGACCACCACCTAGACAGCTGGAGTGAGCAGTTCAGACTGAAAGTGACAGCTGGTTGAGGTTGAATGACAGGCATGGCTGTTACACAAGCAATTTTAGCAGCTTGGATCTGCGGCCAGGCCTGCAACCCAACAGACTGCCGATGCCGTTGGCGATCTCAGCAGCTGCGCTCTGATTTCTTGCGGCATCGCTCTATGGTTGGGCCCCATTCTCCCTTCAGCACAACCCTTTTCTAACGCCGCACTTGTCTGCTTTCACTTTCCAACATTTTCCGCAAAGAGTCCAAGCCTTGGGAGGTGCCGGCAGACTACCAGGTGCCCGTCTATGACTACGTCAGCGCAGACACTGTGCTGGGCGGCAGCACGGCGCCGCCCAAGTGAAGCAGGCAGCTGCACCCACCACGCCTCGCTGTAACGTGCGGGCGCTGCCGGCAGTGGCATTGCTGCCCTGCGCCGGCTGATGGCGGGTTGGCGACCGCGGCGGTGGCGACCGCGGCGGTGGCGACTTCGGCGGCGGCTGCGCTCTGGCCAGTGTCGTTGAGTGGCGGCTGCGCGCGTTGGTGCGTGTGGGCTGTAAGTTGATTTGGAATCGCCTGCAAAGCTTATACACCCCTTTTCTCTCTCACCCTTTCTCATCTGTTGCATCGTTGTCGCTTTTTGGGTGTTCAGAGTGGGTTGCTGATCGTCTCCCAATTGTAACTGCAAGCTGGTTGTGCATCATGTTCTGACTCACGGCAATCTGTTGACATAGCAGTTGCAGAGTAATGTGCCAGGCTTATCTCAGTCATTGTGCACGTGCCATGCCGCTGCCTGGGACGTTTATCGGGTGCATATCCTGGGCTCGTAGATGGTGGATACGAAGAGCAATTGAGGCCTGCACGTTACAGGAAGCCGGTCACAACGGCCGCCCCTTCAGTTGCCAAATCCCTTGGTCTTGTCCACAGTTCTGCGCACCCGCTTCTTCTCCGCTGCCTCCGCTTTCAGCCTGACGGCGGTTGTGTGGCCGGTGCCAACAGATAGGGCGGTAACGAAGTCAGCATATATGGGGTGAGCCTGTAGTGGGCGAGTTGTACCTTGTCGACTACCTTGTGGGCTGCCGTGCCTGCTGTGCCCGCAGTGATCATGAAGCGCTGCGACTCGGCCCCCCCTGACAACGTCAACGGCAGACGGTGACCTTGCCTCACCAACACCCTTCATCTGCCAAACACACACATACACACATGCACACACGCCCCACCCCGGGCACACGCCCCTCGATGGCTGCTCACTTTTGTGCCTCCTGCTGCTCGGCCAGCGTCATGGGCGGCCCCTGCTCCTGGTCCTTCTTCTCCTGGTTGCTGTCGATGAAGGACAGCACTGCCAGGTAGATGACCTGGCAAAAGTCGATCGGGAAGAGGGGAGATTATCTGTTGTAGGGGCGCTGGGGGTAAATGAGCCGAGGGCGCCACGCGTGAGCAGTGACCCGGCATGTGAGTGCCTGGGGGCGCTCAAGGGATCCGGGCGTGAGGTGAGGTGGGGGCGCGGCAGGCGCACCCCGAGCGTCACGATGGACAGCAGGCCGATGGCGGCCGTGAACATGATGGTGACAACCGGATCGTCGGGCGCAGGGTAGGCATACTGGGGGCCATCCTCCTCAGCCCACGCGGCGCCAGCGGCGGCAAGGGCCAGCAGCGGCGCCGCCGCCACAGCAGCGCCCGTCGCACGAGAGCCGGCGGTCTTGACAGGCTGCTGATGGTGCCGCAATTGCTGGGGGATCTGCTGCTGCTGGCCGTGCTGCTGCTCATGCTCGGCCGCTGCAGTGACCACGTGGCGTGCTGCGGCCCTGCGACCAAGGCACCTCGGCCGAGACAGGGCGCTGCGCGTGACACTGGTGCTCTGTGACACCATTATGGATCTCTGACACGCCAAAGACGGCATTATGGAGGCAATGTGCGAGGCTTACAGCGATACCGTGGCTGACCCAGTGGGTCTGGGGTAAGCTGTGTGCTTTGGGAGCTGATCAATTGTATAAGCAAATTCACAGTATGCTTTTCGCGACTAGGATCTTCCTGGCAGGTTGTCCAAGCTTCAAGTTCTTGATAATTTTGCCCACTGCAATCTCTTTGGTCGAGCTCGGAGGACGCAGAATGCAATCAAGCTTTTTTATTCTCTCATGAACGCGCGATCATGTATCAATCACTGAGCGATCTGTATCTTAGGCGCGTATCACCCCATCGCCTGTAGTGGGGCGCGCTGTGCGCGCAATCTTCAGCAGGCATTACGATGGGCTCGTTGGGCCCCATCAGCGGGCGGGGCAGCGCGCCGTCCCCACCCCCCGCCGCTCCTGTCGCCGGCAACACCGCGGTCGACGCAGGGCGGCTCGCAATCGACTTCGATGCGCTTGTGGAGCAGCAGCCAATGTGAGCAGGCGTTGTGCTAATTGGAACGTCCGCGCGCTTGTTGTCTGATGGGTACGCCCCACCACAAGACGCGCCCGAGTCTGGTGGTGACGGTCCTGCCGTCATGCTCCGCATGCTGCGCGTGCATGCGTGGGGACTGCGCACAGCTGCAGCGCCTGGCCCTCCGCGCAGCTCCCTATGCCCAACTCGGCCGCCCTCACTGGCCGCCGCAGGGAGTCATGGGACCCCTCGCGCTTTCGAGTGGCACCTCACTCATCCAGGGCCGCCGTCGCTCTGCTGTGGCTGCCCCCAGCCGCCGACGACGACGCCAGCCCCGGCGGTGGAGCGGCCGCCGCGGGCGCCGTCGCAGTGGGAGCAATCTCGAGCGGCAGCTTCCCTGCAGCTGCCCGCTCGTCCCTGAGGGCCCTGCTGTTGGCAGGGTGCGTCGAGCTGCGGCCGTTTGCAGTCGAGCGGCTTGTCAACGGCGTGACGGGCTGGCGTGTGCACGCGGCTGTTTTGCTGCTGCCTCCCTTCTTCTGGCAGCAGCAGCAGCAGCAGCAGCAGCAGCAGCGCGCCTCAGCGACAGGGCCAGGCGCCACGGGTGGGCCCAACGGGCCCGAGCCGACGGGCCCGGGCGTTGGCGGGCGCGAGGGCAACTGCCCCGCAGCGGGCGCAGAGGCAGCAACGCCGCAGCCGTATGGGCTCGGGCCGCTGTCAGGGGCAATCAACCTTCTGATGGATTTGCTGGAGTCATCCACCGCCGCGCGGCGAGCGGCGGCGCGGCGGCGGCAGGACCCGGTGCCGCACCCGGCAGCCGTCGCGCCGCCTGGGCTCAACACGTGCGGCAGGTCAAACGGGCGGCTGCAGGGCGGCGGCGGCCACGAGGACGGGGCACAGGGTGAAATGGAGCAGCAGCATGAGGATGGCGGCTGTCTTGTGGGACCGCCGGACGCGGCGGCGGACGCGGAGGTGGCAGTCCAGGGGGCGGACGACGAGGACGCGGAGGACGAGGGCGCGGACTGGGACGAGGGGCGGGAGGACCCGGACTGGAGGCCGCCGCGGGACGGGGAGGGCGTCAGGGACGGTGCGCCGGACTGCTCTGTCGGCGCTGGGAGCTGCCTAGGTTTCGAAAGGTTGTCCGCCTCCATGCAGGGCGCGCCTGAGATGCCGTACGCACGGGATCGGCCACCAAACTGCATTGCAGGCGGCAGCCGCGCGCGTCCCCCCCCCTTCTGCATCGCCCCGCCTCGTCCGCCTGCTTATCGCTCGCCGCGCTGGCGTCTCGTTGCACCCCCCCTCCTTTAGAGGTGTTTGAGCTGGCGCGTCCCTGGGACTGGCAGGCTGAAGCGCCCGACCCCCGGGGACTCAAGTGCTCCCTGTTTCGCTACCAGCGGCGGGCGCTGGCCTGGATGTTGTGGCGGGAGGCGGGCGCCCCGCTGGCGCCGGGCGCGACGGCAGCGTCGGCGACGGCAGCGGCGGCGGCGCCGCCGCGGGCGCAGCCGCAGGGGCGGCCGCGGGCGGAGGCTTTGGAGGCGGGGCTGTTGGGTACTGACCTGCTCAACCCGCTGTGGCGCAGGGTGCGGCTGCTGCCCAGCGGCGCGCCCCCGCAGCCCTGCCCCCAGCCCCCCGGCGCGCCGGCCGCGGGGGCCTGCGGTGAGGCCTCGGCGGCGGCGACCACGGCAGCCGGCGCGCTGTGGCGCAACGCCACGTACGGGCTCGTCAGCGCGGCACGGCCGGGCCCGCTGCCACAGCCGCGGGGGGGCGTGCTGGCAGAGGAGATGGGCCTGGGAAAGACGGTACGTTTTGAACTACAACTGGCGTGGAGGTCCCAGAGTTGTCAGGTTATGCTTGCATAGAACCAGGCGGCTCCCATTGCAGTGACTGGGTCGCCCAACAGTTGATGTGTATATGCCATGACGCCCCCCTTCCCTGCTCGTCCCCAGCCGCTGTCTCGTTTCCAGGATCTTGTGTATCTCAACAATCATGCTTTCCGCTATTGCCCAAATCTCCTTATCCTGCTCGCAGGTGGAGGTCATCGCGCTCGCATTAGCCAACCCGCCGCCGCCCGACGCAGCCGCGGACGCGCCGGGGCCGTTGTCGCCGCGTTTGCCGACGGCCCCCGCCTGGCCCGCGCCGGGGCGCCGTGGCGGCGGCATGCTGGTGGTCACGCCGCCGGCGATCCTGCAGCAGTGGGCCAACGAGCTCGGGCGCCACGCTGGCCTGCGGGTCGTGGTGTACGACGGACTCAAGTGGCACAGGCAGCAGGTGCGGCCGGGCAGGGGGGGTCCAGGCCCGTTCCGCGCTGGTCTGGACTGGACCGCACTGGATTGGACTGCCTTAGTTCCATACAGGCTGGGGCGGTCATGCGTGACCTGTATTGAGCAGGCTAGAGGTCAACACGTCAAGGTGGAATCAATTGTTTTTTGCTAGTCCCCAGGTTTCGCTCCTGAAGCAATCCTATCAGAGTGTTGGACTGAGGCTGTGCCGAACGCAAGGCGTGGCTGCGCGGCACACTCTGACTGTCCGTCCCCTGCAAAACGGGGCCGCCCCGCAGAAAGAGGAGGTCGAGCGCAAGGGGCGCAAGCGCATGCGCAAGGAGGACCGCGCGGCGACGATGGCGCAGCAGCTCGCGGACTACTGCGCCAACGGGCCGCCCGACGCGCCTGCGTTCGACGCGGAGCGGGAGGCGGCGGACGCGGTGGAGGGGGTGGTGGGGGCAGACGTAGTGCTTACCACGTACACGGTGGGGCGGGTGCCGCTTTGGCTGGGGTGGGGCGCAGCCGCTGCATTTGAGCTGCTCTGCTCTGTGTGCAAGCCCCCGTCGGAAGCGCCTTGTGAAGCAGCACCTCAGCATTTGGCAGGCGGTCGGCCGTGCCAGCTGCTGAATGAGAGTGGCTCGCTCGCGCCTCGGGACCACCTGCGCTAGCACCTTGCGTCACTGCGAATGCTGCACGACGCCCACCTTGGGGTCTTTTCGTAGGCTAACTCAGCCATTCTCAGCAAATGGCGCCTCGACAAACGCCTGTGGTGCCCCTCAGGTGCTGCAGCAGGAGATTCACTACAGCCCAAACCACTCAGAGGGCATCGCCTCGAGCGCATTGCGGCGGCCCAAGCGCTACAAAGTCCCGGAGTCGCCGCTGCTGCAGGTGCGAGACCCGCCGCGCCGCTCCGACACCACGCGCCGCCCGTTGACAAAACACCCACCGGCGTGGGCGAAGGCGCATGCTCATGTTGTGTGCTGCATGCGCGCGCACAGCTGCCTGTAGCGCCGCTCTGCCGCCCTGTATTGCGGCCGGGTAACTTCCCTGGAGGTGCTCACTGCGCTCAATCCTTGCTCGCGGCTGCGCCCCTCACCCCTCTCATCAGGTGCACTGGTGGCGGCTGGTTTTCGACGAGGCACAGCAGGTGGGAACTTCCCACACCCCCTCATACACTCGCGCGCGTCCAGACGCCCGCGCGCGCGCGCGCGCGCACACACACACACACACACGCACAGACATGGCACGGCCACGTCATCTGCGAAGTCAAGTGGCCCGGTTCGCATTCTCATGTGCGCCGCGGAGCTGCCGCGCGGCTGTGCGGGGCTCCTGTTTCGACAGCCCTCCACTACAGGACCTCAGGAAAGAATCAGTCAAACAATCAACCATAATTCTGTTTCCTGCATGGCGCCGCCATCGCACCCACGCAGGTCGGCGGCAACGGCGGCCACTCGTCCACCGCCACGATGGGCGGCCGCATCGCCGCCGCCCACCGGTGGTGCGTCACCGGCACGCCCGTCGGCCCCGGCGGCATGCACGACGTTCTCGGCCTGCTGCGCGCGCTGCACGCTGCGCCCTTCGACGCCACGCCCGCCGCATTCCAGGTGACCGGAGGGCCCACCGCATCTGCGCGTGTGCGCGCAGGCGATGCCGCGGTCGCAGCCTTGTTTCGTGCGTGCTGGTGCTGCGGCTCCTGATCTTGCCCCCTGCACGCCCCGTCAGCCGCTGCCGTCCGCGCCCGCGTCACTCTGGTTGCTTGAACCCGATTTTTTGCTTGCATTCAAGCCGCCTCGATATGTGTTGGCGCCCTGCGTGTGCAGCCCCATCCTGCCCGTTCACTGCCCCCCCACACCCTGTTCTCGGCCCCACCCTCGAACCCCCGATCTGCGCCCGCAGTTGGCAGTGTCAGTACCATACCTGACGGGCCGCCCGTGGGGCCGCCGCGCGCTTGCCGCGGTGCTGCGGCAGCTGATGTGAGCGGCCATGGCAGCCCCGGCGGCCCTGTGCATGGCGCAGCCCGAAGGCTGCTTTGCAGGCGCCTGCCTGGCCAACGGTGGTCGTGCCCCGCCCCGCACACGGCTGCAAGCCCGCACGTGTACACCAACACGCGCATTGGCCCAACGATACGCCCATCACACCTTCCGCACTTGCACCCAGCATGCCAGCCCAATCTCCTGCCCCCCCCCCTCCCCCGAAACATGGCACCCTGCTAGACACGCGCCGCCCGCCCAACCACATAGTCCGCCCAGCATTGCAGCACGCTGACTGCGCGCGGCCCGCCCACCCGTCACCCGCCAGGTGGCGCAACTCCAAGGACGTCGCCAGCGAGGACGCCCCCCTGCCGCCGCGGCGCTTGGAGACGGCGCTGCTGCGGTTCAGCCCTGCTGAGAGGAGCTTCTACGACCACGTGCTGGAGAAGACGGCAGGGCGCATGCAGGCGCAGCACGCGCAGCATGGGCAGCAGGTGCAGCATGCGCAGCCGGAGGACGTGCAGCAAAGGGCGCAGCAGGAGGCGCCGCGGCAGGGGCAGCTGGAACAGGGGGCTGGGCAGGAGGGGGACGAGGAGGCGGGGCAGCCCGAGGGGCGGCGCCCAGAGGGCGAGGAGCCGCCTCCGTCTCCGCCGGCTGCGGCTGCGCAGCAGCAGCAGCACCAGCAGCAGCAGCGAGCAGCTCCGCGGCGGCGCGCCAAGCGCCGCGGCGGCGGCGCTGCTGGCGGTGGCGGCGCGGCGGCGCTGGCAGCGGGGGAGCTGCTGCAGCTGCGGCTGGCCTGCCTCCACCCCCAGCTGACGCGCTACTGTGAGAGCTTCTGCCTGCGCGGCTGCAGTTGGAGCCGCACCTCGCTGGTCCCTGCTTGCATGCAGTCGCGCGGCAGTGGACGGCACATGCCTGCTGTCTGCGTGCGCGTCGTCACATGATATGCATCACCTCTCATCCAGCCTGCCGGCCGCACCCCGCAATACCCTGCACTTCGCCGGGCCTGCCTCACAGCGCACGCCCACGCCTTTCACCGCGCCTCAGCTCCATGAGACAGCAATGGTCACATATACCT